ATGAACCATTTCCAATTCTCCTTGTTTTCCACACAAACAACCGCCCATGCAATTGGGAATATTTCATTGTTAGCGTCCCTACCAACAACACAAAGCAACTCCCCTAGGCAAAAACTTTTCAGAAAACAACCGTCCAGGTTAATGACCCTCCTACATCCTCCCCTCCACCCTCTTTTACCGAAGCAAAACATATGTACATCTTGCTGAAGTAATTCTTACCATCAGGAATTGCATCAACATAAATTTTAACCGTGGATCCAGGATTTGATCTTCTAATCTCCTCAACATATGACCATATTCTTGCATAATTTTCAGCTATTGTGCCTTTAGCAAGAGTCAATGCATACTTCTTGGCTCTCCTACACTGAATCATACTCACATCAATGCCAAAAGTAGTTTTTACCTCCTCTCTAAGCAATCAGACACTCATGTTTTGATTGTTATAAAATTGTTGCTTAAAGTGGGTTCCTATCCATTTGTAAGTCACCATTGATCCGAATTTGAAATTATTTGCAAAATTATGCTCACCAATAAGAGACTTTATCTAGAAAGACTTATCATCAGTCATCCAAGAGCCCCAAACCCTAAATTTACATTTTCCATCACAACATTTGGTAGGTAATTGGAAACCATTCGCGACAGCATATCGCCATTCTCATTATCCTGTTGCAACTTCCTTAATCAGTCATGCACCATCAAGTACCTCTTCCTCTATGTTACCAACAACCTCGTCTTTGTGTTCATCCAACCATTCATGCATGTTACTAATTGGAAACCATTCGCGACAACATTTGGTAGGTAATTGGAAACCATTCGCGAAAGCATGTGCTTCAATTCTTTAGGACTCCCAAACCTCATACCTAACACAGGTTCCTGCTCCTTCCAATTGAACTTATCATTGAAAATATTTGGCAACTCGGGATAAACATCTTCATTGTCACCCATGTCTTCTTCGAAAGACTCACCTGTGCTTGCATTCTCACCCATGTCTACCTGAATCTCATTATCCTTTATGAAAAAATGAGGGTTCTCATGGTCATCCTCATCGTCATCGGCATCTTCATCCTCGTCGTCATCGTCATCGCCATTCTCTTCCTTATCGTCAACGTCAGCCACATCCCGATGCCCTGTTGCAACTTCCTTAATCAGTCATGCACCATCAAGTACCTCTTCCTCTATGTTACCAACAACCTCGTCTTTGTGTTCATCCAACCATTCATGCATGTTACTATTTCCAAAATGGTCTACATACATAGGGAGTATAACACCACATTCATATGCAATTGCTATAAAGTCGAAATAATCAGGGTCATTGCTAATTAAAGTCAAACCTTTTGGAAAATTAAAATCAGGTTGGCAGAGTAATAGAGCTTCTGACACTTTTCCCCAGTGAACCTTTCGATGAATGCAATGCACCCGTCCTTGTCCATGCTTGCGAAATCGATATCCGAAAACCTCTAAGTAATTCCGCTAGTGTAGCGTATGGGGTTCTGGTGAACGTTCCATTGAAGTGCACATCTACTTGTAAGAATACAGGCTCCATGTTTGAGGTTTCAGAACCAAAAAACAAGAAAGGGTTTACTGATGAAGTGATGAACAATGGTGGTAAAAGGGATCTTTGATAAAGCATTTTCCGACAGTAAGAATACAGGTACTAGTTGACCGGAAATGATGCGTTACCTGAGGTGGACCAATTCATGGTCATTTTCAACCTCTCACCATAACCGTTCCCAATCAACTGTGCAACCAGTTACCAACTCTAACAATTCAGCCCGATTCTTCCTTAATGCAACAGCTGCGTTGTTATCTCTACCCGGACGGTACTCGACGTCAAAGTTGTACCCTAAAAGTTTAGACAACCACTTCTGATGGTTTTCAGCCACAACCTGCTGTTCCAGCAAATAATTTAAACTTTGCTGATCAGTACGAACCACAAACCTTCGCCCCAGCTAGTAAGGACGACACTTTTTGATAGCAAAAACAATTGTCATTAATTCGTGCTAATACACAGACTTTAGACGAACCAAAACTTGACTAAAGTAAGCAATTGGGTGAGAATCTTGCATTAATACCGCACCCACGGCAACACCCGAAGCATCGGTTTCCACCAAAATGTTTTTTCTAAAATCCGGTAAGGCCAAAACAAGAACACGAGTCATCACGGTCTTTAACTGCTGAAAAGCTTGTGAAGCGTCCTTGTTCCAACGAAAATTATCTTTCATTAAGTTGATCCGTGAGTGGTCTTGCAATCTTCCCATAATCCTTGACAAACTTGCGATAGGACCCCGTCAGCCCTAAGAACCCGCGTAATTCCTGGAGCGTTTTTGGTTTCAGCCATTCCAACATAGCTTCAATTTTCGAGGGATCAACCGATACACCCTCAGTTGAAACCAAATGCCCTAAATACTCGATTTCATTCTAAGCAAACGAACATTTTTTTTATTTGCAAAAAATTTATTCTCTTGCATCGTTAGTAGTACTGAAGATAAATGATGCACATGATCGTTTATAACAGGAATAGGAAACATGTCAAGAACCGTCGCTTTATTAAATGCTATATAGTCCACACAAAAACACCAGCTCCCATCTTTTTTTCACCAACAACATGAGACTAGAGAAGGGACTAGTACTCGGATGAATAATCCCAACATCCAGCTTTTACTGGACTAGGTGTTCTATTTCATTCTTGTGTGCTTGCAGGAAGCTGTAAGGTCTTACGCTTACAGGTGGGGTACCCTCCTTTAAAATGATCCTATGATTTTTGCTACGTATATGGGATAAACCACCAGGCATTTCAAAAACGTCTTTAAACGCCTCCAACACCTTCATAACCTGACCATGAATCACAACAGGAGTGTACACCACACCTTTTGCCTGAAGATGGACAAAATATCATTCCCCCTCATGTTGTATTAACTTATGAAGAGTCTTACACGAGGCAATAGTTTTTGATTTGCGACCAGCCGATCACATTCCCAGTATTGCATTCGAAGTTCCAACCAATTTACCGTCATGTCACCAAGCGTTTGCAACCATTTTACACCCAATATGACATCTGATCCTTCTAGTTCAATAGGTAAGAACTCTTCCACAATCCTAACCTCCGGTAAGTCGAGAAGAACATCCTTATTACAACATTTTCCTTTGAAATTCTTCTAAACTATTACATCGCTCATTGAAGGTGGAGATTAGGATGAGACATGAGGAGGTGAACCCAGCAGAAGTGTTGGTGTTTTATAAGAGCAAAGAATGGTGATCAATGATTGACAAGAATCTTTCAACTATGAGTTTAACGGTAATGATAATTGTCTTCAATATTAACTAATAGGAATAGTAACCCCCTAACATTCCATATTTAGTAAAATACAAATTACTTCCATACAAAGTGATTAGAGCATATGCTACTTAACATAAGGATTAAAGAAACTTCTCGTCATAATAACGACTTTCCAGTATTATTATACACATTACTGAAACAGCACTAAACTTTACTCTTTCTGTTTCAACACATGTAAATTGACACACATACACAAACACAGCTTCAGCTTCATTTTGTTCTTCAAAATAGTGGTTATTTTCTATGGTCACTGCAGATATGCATAACAGAAATCTCAGATCATCGGTTTCTTCTTCATGCAAACAATATTTACAAGTATATTAAATCGCACCACAAGGAATAAAAATTCAAGTAACAATTAGTAGGAATTTTTTAGTCGATGGAGCTCTTGTTTCTTACTATAACTTTCAATATGGTGGTCCTTTTTTTATTTAATCTTATGCTTGAACACAATATGAAGCAACAAACTTTGTTGGATTGTAATTGGTGTTTGTTTTATTTCAAGGACTTAAAAAGTAAAAATATGAAAAACCGAGGACTTGAAGCTATGACAACTCAACTGGACCAAGGTCCTTTGTGCAAATAAAGGTAGCAAAGCAAATAGGATAAATAAGAGGGTGTTTAAAATTTAAAGGAGAGAAGATTCTTACATGATTCTGGTTCCAGATCCAAGCAAAACACTTTTGCTTTTGTTGATGCTCGAGGGAACTGCATAACCTCTTTAGCAATGTCATATCTTTTTGAAAATCAGAAGCTCTACTTGGTTTAATGGGAAATTTCTGGAGAGAAGGGGAATGAGCAAAAAGAAGCTTTATAAAAAGCAGTTCCGTTTTTTATCCTTTTAAATATGTTATCTCAACAGTTTGCAACTGATCCAATGTAGAGTCCAAACAATTTGGGGATTCCAAATGATTTGAAGCTGGTCCTACGTCAACTTGAGGCTTCTAAAAAGAAAACATAAAAATGCAACCGCATTTTAGCATCCAACTTTTGTATTATATATACTTTTAACACTTTTCAGTTTACCATATCAAAGTGCCTAACAAACAGTTTTTCTAGATTACATGAGTTTCGAAGAAAACAAAGAACATCATGAAGTTGATTCAAATCACCAAGTTGAATATCCAGAAACCATAGATGATTTAAACTACTAATCGCACGTGGAAGCAATTTTGGAATCTTTTCTACAATCAAAAACTGTGAGATGAAAGTAAGATTTTAACTTAGGAAAAATAGCACAAAAGAAACTATGTTTTCACTTTCTTTTTTTTTTTTTGATTTTGAAAGTTAATTGTTTTTTGTTTTAAATCGAACATCACAATTTCAAATTTTTCTCAATGGCACAAAAGATACTTTGTTTTCACCTTTTTCGATTTTTTGACACCGCATTTTCTTTTTTATTTTGTGTTTTTGGATTTTTTTAGGATTTTGAGATCGTATTTTCTAACCCAACATGGCAAACCTGGTACCCCGGGTGCATTTTGTGCCATTTCTCTTTAACTTACCCAATAAACTCTAGTTAAGGAAGAGCGAAGGTTAAGCATAAAAAGTTTTCCTTTATATCATACCTTAAGAAAAGGATTGTTGATATAGAAGTATTCAACTTTGGACAAGTTACTCAACATTGTGGCCAAATTCATTTTTTCAACTCCTACAAAATCTTCTAATAGTTTCTCAAAAGCAATCGAAACCAAAAAAGGCTCGCACTATCCAATAACCGGAGCAACATGGCATTAGGACAAACATAGACAATCAATTCCTGCAGTCTTGTAGCCTTAATGTTGAAATTGTAGACATTTGTGCATTTAAACAGGGACAATTTCTTAAGTTGCGGTAGGTTGACCTTAGTTCCACACAAGCTAGCCCCAAAATCAATATCCTTCAGAAGAAGTTTTTCAAGATTGAGAAATCCTTCAAATTCAAGTGGTGGCTTAAAGCAACACTTGTGTAGTTCTAGCTTTGTCAATTCTAGACAACAAAACAAATAAGAAGGAAGTTCATAACGCCGATTCAAATTGTGAAGGACGAGTTCATTGACACTGTTTCTTGACAAGAATAGCACCCATTGATCAACTTCTTCGAAGCGATCAAGAAACATATTTGGTATATAGATATGAAATTTCAAGATAGGACCCTTGTTTTCATAGTTACAAACTTCATACCTAACATAGGTTCCTGCTCCTTCAAATTGAGCTTATCATTGAAAATATTTGGCAACTTGGGATAAACATCTTCATTGTCAGCCATATCTTCTTCGAAAGAATCACCTACACCTGCATTCTCACCCACGTCTACCTGAATCCCATTATCCTTTATCAAAAAATGAGGGTTCTCATGGCCATCCTCATCGTCATCGGCATCCTCATCCTCGTCATTATCCTCATCGTCAACGTCAGCCACATCCCGATGTCCTGTTGCAACTTCCTTAATCAGTCCTGCACCATCAAGTACCTTTTCCTCTATGTTATCAACAACCTCATCTTTGTGTTCATCCAACCATTCTTGCATGTTACTATTCCCAAAACGGTCTACATACATAGGGAGTATAATACCACATTAATATGCAATTGCTATAAAGTCGAAATAATCCGAGTCATTGCTAATTAAATTCAAACCTTTTGGAAAATCAATATCAGGTTGGCAGTAATAGAGCTTCTCACACTCATCCACAGTGAACCTTTCGATAAACGCAACACACCTGTCCTTTTCAAATGCCTGTGGAATTGATGTCCGAAAACCTCTGAGTAATTCCGTCGGTGTAGCGTATGGGGTTTCTGGCGAACATTCCTTGGAAGTGCACATCTACTTGTAAGAATACAGGTTCCATGCTTGAGGTTTCAGAAGCAGAAAACAAGGAAGGGTTTATCGATGAAATGATGAACAGTGGAGGTAAAAAGGCTCTTTTATAAAGCATATATTGACAGTAAGAAGGAAGTGACAATAAGAATACAGACCTATTAACTGAAAATGACGTGTTGCATGATATCGACCAATTCAAGGTCATTTTCAACCTCTCACTACAACCATTCCCAATCAACCGTGCAACCAGTTACCAACTCTAACAATTCAGCCCCATTCTTCCTTGACAATGCAACAGTTGCGTTGTTCTCTTGACCCGGACGGTACTCGATGTCAGAGTTGTACCCCAAAATTTTAGACAGCCACTACTGATGGTCTTCAGCCACGACCCGCTCTTCCAACAAATATTTTAAACTTTGTTGATCCATATGAACCACAAGCCTTCGCCCCAGCTAGTAAGGACGACACTTTTGGATAGCAAAAACAATTGCCATTAATTCGCGCTAATACACAGACTTTAGACGAACCAAAACTTGACTAAAATAAGCAATTGGGCAAGAATTCTGCATTAATACCGCACCCAAGCCAACACCCGAAGCATCGGTTTCCACCACAAATGTTTTTGTAAAATCTAGTAAGGCCAAAGCCGGAACACGAGTCATCACGGTCTGTAACTGCTGAAAAGCTTGCGAAGTGTCCATGTTCCAACACAAATTATCTTTCTTGAGCTGATCCGTGAGTGGTCTTGCAATCTTCCCATCATCCTTGTCAAACATGCGATAGTACCCCATCAGCCCTAAGAGCCCGCGTAGGAAGCGTAATTCCTAGAGCGTTTTCGGTTCCGTCCATTCCAACATAGCTTCAATTTTCGAGGGATCAGCCGATACACCCTCAGCTGAAACCAAATGCCCTAAATACTCTATTTCATTATAAGAAAACGAACATTTTTTGATCTTTAAAAAGTTTATTCTCTTGCATCGTTAATAGTACCGAAGATAAATGATGCACATGCTCGTCCCAGGACCTGCTATAGACGAGAATATCATCGAAGAAAACGAGTACAAAGTGTTGCAAGAAGGGTCGGAATACCTGATTCATTAAAGATTGGAATGTGACAAGAGCGTTGGTCAACCTGAAAGGCATAACGAGAAATTCATAGTGCCCCTCACGAGTCCTAAAAGTGGTTTTATGAACGTCTTCATCTTTCATTCGTATCTTACCAGACCTTAAATTTAATTTTGAAAAAAGAACTGACCCATGCAACTGATCCAAAAGCTCATCTATAACGGGAATAAGGAACATGTCAAGAACCGTCGCCTTATTAAATGCTATATAGTCCACATAAAAACACCAGCTCCCATTTTTTTTCACCAACAACACGAGACTAGAGAAGGGACTAGTACTCGGCTGAATAATCCCAGCATCCAGCATTTCTTGGACTAGGCGTTTATTTCATTCTTGTGTGCTTGCGGGTAGCGGTAAGGTCTTACGCTTACAGGTGGGGTACCCTCCTTTAAAATGATCGCGTAATTTTTGCTACATATAGGTGGTAAACCAGCAGGCATTTCAAAAACGTCTTTAAATGCCTCCAACACCTTCATAACTTGACCATTAATCACAACAGGAGTGTGCACCACGACTTTTGCCTGAAGATGGACAAAATATCCTTCCCCCTCATATTGTATTAACTTGTGAAGAGTCTTACACAAGGCCATAGTTTTTGATTAGCTCAGTTCACCCATGATTGTGACCAGCCGATCACCTTCCCGGTATTGAATTCGAAGTTCCAACCAATTTACCATCATGTCACCAAGCGTTTGCAACCATTTTACAAATTACCGTCATGGTAATGATAACTGTCTTCAATATTAACTAATAGGAATAGTAACCCCTAACATTCCATATTCAGTAAATTACAAATTACTTCCATACAAAGTCCTTAGAGCATATGCTACTTAACATAAGGATTAATGAAACTTCTCGTCAAAATAACAACTTTCCAGTGTTATTATACGCACTACTTTAAACAGCACTAAACTTTACTATTTCTGTTTGAACACATGTAATTTGACACACATACACAAACACAGCTTCAGCTTCATTTTGTTCTTCAAAATAGTGGTTATTTTCTATGGTCACTGCAGATGTGGATAACAGAAATCCTAGATCATCAGTTTCTTCTTCATGCACACAACTATTTACAAGTATATTAAAACGCACCATAAGGAATAAAAATTCAAGTAACAATTAGAAGGAATTTTTAGTAGGAGTTTTTTAGTCGATGGAGCTCGTGTTTCTTACTATAACTTTCAATATGGTGGTCCTTTTTTTATTTAATCTTATGCTTAAACACAATATGAAGCAACAAACTCAGTTGGACTTTAATTGGTGTTTGTTTTATTTCAAGGACTTAAACATAAAAATATGAAAAACCGAGGACTTCAAGCTATGACAACTCAACTGGACCAAGGCACTTTGTGCAAGTAAGGGTAGCAAAGCAAATAGGATAAATAAGAGGTTGTTTAAACTTTAAAGGAGAGAAGATTCTTACATGATTATGGTTCCGGAATCCAAGCAAAACATTTTTGCTTTTGCTGATGCTCGAGGGAACTGCATAACCTCTTTAACAATGTCATATCTTTTTTTAACATTAGAAGCTCTACTTGGTTTAATGGTAAACTTCTGGAGAGAAGGGGAATGAGCAAGAAGAAGCTTTATAAAAAGCAGTTCCGGTTTTGATCCTTTTAAACATGTCATCTCAACAATTTTCAACTGATCCAATGTAGAGTCCAAGTAGTTTGGGGATTCTAAATGATCTGAAGCTGGTCCCACATCTACTCGGGGCTCCTGAAACAACATAAAAATGCAACCACAGTTTAGCTCCAAACTCTTGTATTATATATACTTTTAACACTTTTCACTTTACCATATCAAGGTGCCTAACAAACAGTTTTTCTAGATTAGGAGAGTTTTGAAGAAAACAAAGAACAGCATGAAGTTGATCCAAATCACCAAGTTGGATACCCAGAAACCACAGATGCTTTAAACTACTAATCGCACGTGGAAGCAATTTTGGAATCTTTTTTGCAATCAAAAACTGTGAGATGAAAGTAAGATTTTAACTTAGGGAAAATAGCACAAAAGAAACTATGTTTTCACTTTCTTTCTTTTTTTTATTTTGAAAGTGCATTGTTTTTTGTTTCAAATCGAACATCACATTTTCCAATTTTGTTCAAGTCGAACATCACATTTTCCAATTTTGTGTTTTTGGATTTTTTGAGGATTTTGAGATCGCATTTTCTAACCCAACATGGCAAACCTGGTACCCCGGGTGCCTCTTGTGCCATTTCTCTTTAACTTACCCGATAAACTCTAGTTAAGGAAGAGCGAAGGTTAAGCATAAAAGGTTTTCCTTTATATCATACCTTAAGAAAATAACTGTTGATATAAAAGTATTCAACTTTGGACAAGTTACTCAACATTGTCGCCAAATTCATTTTTTCAACGCGTACAAAATCTTCTAAGGTTTCTCAAAAGCAATAAAAACCAAAAAAAGGCACCGACTATCCAATAACCGGAGCAACATGGCATCAGGCCAAGCATAGACAATCAATTCCTACAGTCTTGTAGCCTTAATGTCGAAATTGTAGACATTTGTGCATTTAAGACGGACAACTTCTTAAGTTGTGGTAGGTTGAACTTAGTTCCACACAAGCTAGCCCCAAAATCAATATCCTCCAGACGAAGTTTTTCAAGATTGAGAAATCCTTCAAACTCAAGTGGTGGCTTAAAGCAACATTTGTGTAGTTCTAACTTTGTCAATTCTAGACAATAAAACAAATAAGAACGAAGTTCATAGCGGCGATTCGCATTGTTAAGGAGGAGGTCATTGACACCATTTCTTGATAAGAATAGCACCCATTGATCAACTTCTTCAAAGCTATCAAGAAACATATTTGGTATATGGATATGAAATTTCAAGATAGGACCCTTGTGAAAGAACAAGACTTTGTTTATGATCCTTATAAACCCATTACCACCAAAAGCTCCATTTTTTGAAATTTTTTTAGAGAACTGCTCATCAAAAACAAGTGCTGTCATTTTGGTCCATCTGTACCTCCACTTTTTTGATATAATGCTTGTCCTTACAGCCTCTTCAAGCGGGACCCGCTCTAAGATTGAGTCCATCAAGTGTTCAGGCAAGTTACTGATTCTATCTTCTTTAGCACAAGTTACAAGCCCCGCTCTATAATTCTCTGTCATTAGTTTTAAAAAAGAAAAAAACGGGACTAAGTTATTTCAAACAAATTGAAGGAAACAAAAAAATCAACAAATTCACATTTCTAATACTCTTCTTAAATTTTCTTTTTGGGTGTGGTAACATAACTCATGATATAGGAATTGGATTGTTTGCAATACTTATGATTTCATGGTTGTAAACATTTTTTCTATAACATATGACTCACATATTACGTTTTGTAACCCTAAAAGACAATAATCCAAATATCTTTAACATGATGGTTTAAAAGAGGGTAATGGAATATCACAGAGAAATGTATGGAAACCGAAGTGATTTCGAAGCTGTCAGAATTCAGAGATGAGCAACAAAGTGAAAGATAGTTACAAGTGTGTGTGTAACCTAGAGCAATATCAGCTATCTGCCTATCCAGAGGCCATTCACAAAGATAATGAGGTTAAAGTATGAATGATGGAGGGTTTTTCAGTTAATCGTTCAATGAAAACAGTTAAAATAGCTACGGGAATACAACAGATACTTTGATGACAAAGGAATGTAGTGATGGAATACGCCAAACAAGCTGGCCTCAAATATGTGCGTGTGAAAAAGTGTCACTCATGCCACCAAACCCTACAAGGGTTCATCTCTCTACTTTTTTAATGCATTTTACAGTGATACAATTTCTCTAGTTACATCAATGGCTGCCCCTGGCAGAACCTAACTTAAAACAACTTAATGATCACATAATATACATTCTGACAAAAAGTAGATTTTACCAGTCATATTCAAACTAATGTAATAGATCTTCGGAAAGTCGGGTTCCTGATTTCTGTTTTACAGTAGATACGGGATGATTGACAACGACTACCAAAAACAGGTTTTACGTTTCCTACTGGAATGAGCAGAAATCCTAAACTAAATCTCTTACATTCGATGAATTAAAAACATGGAGGTGTATAAAGTATGATACTTACCCATCATACCAATGGTGAAAATGAAAATGTCGAAGAATTGGGGTCTTAGGGTTTACTGTTCACCAGCCCTGAAATTTGATATAGAGAAAGGTAAGTTGTAATAATATCTTTGTCTTAAAAGTTCTGGTTTGGTTTGGTCTCATATTTAATAATCTAAAAAAATTAAGTTTTTAATAAAATTACCTTTTAGTGTGTTTTTTTTTTATCAAGCTCGTGACATAAATGCATGTTTTTTTAGCATTCTATCATTAAATTAAACGGTTATCTTTTTTCTTTTCAAAAGAAGATTGCTACTCTAAGAAGTTGGTTTTTCAACATTATATTTTGCAAATTTAAGAGTAAATTACTCGAATAGACTATGTGTTTTGAGTGATTTGCATGGTTGTCCTTAATTCTTTTTTTAATTTGGACGGGTTGTTATGTTTTGTTTTTGTTATGTATTTTGTTACTTACAGACCTAAAATAACTATTATATCTTAATGATTAATTTTTAATTATATTTTAAATATTATATAAATCAAATCAATAAAAAACTCATCCTCACCCCCTACCTAGATCCTACCCCCATACCCTCCCTCTACCTTTCCTATATCTATTCTCGTTTCTAGTCTGAGTGTGCCCCTCCTCCCTAAAAGCCATCGAGGATCTCCTGCAACACCATCACCATTTGTACACCACCGTCGGTGACTGCCACTAATCGCCTCTTACCCTGTAGACCATCGCCTACCATCCACCACCTTTTCTCTCCTTCAGCTACTACCGCTATAGCCGGCCTTCTAAAAATCAAACCACCTTCAATCGGTCATCGGTAGATCCGGCGACATCGTGAACCCACTATCATCGTCCACACTCACCAGACCGTGAAACCCACAAATCCTACTCGTATCATACATCTCAAGAGGCAAGATCATGAAACTCTCCACCCTTTGATTCCAAACTGTTCTACCAACATTTTTTGGCCACCGACGATTTTCCAGTCACCATCTCTACTTTTGCAGTTTCCGGATGTCACCCCTGCATTTTTTCTTTCATCGAATGGAACCCTACAATGATGTCGATTTGTAGATCTGTTCACGAACTCATCACAGCTTTACTTGTTCTTTTAGATAAAGAGTGGTGACTTTGCAAGATTCGGCCATCGATTTGTTTGGAAATCATTTTCCCTTCCTATTCATTAATCTACAATCGAATATATACAGATACATATGGGATTTTGTGAAACGTCCCAAAATTTAAGACTAAAAATTTCGATGTTTAAATTGAAAAAAACCATTACCCCAAAACAACATCGTAGAAACCAAAGAGAATGGCTTGACATGGGTAGGTCGGGCACCCCTGAATTGCCCGAAAGTATGTATGATTGTATGGTATGTGGTATGATGGGGGACTCACTAAGCTTCGTGCTTACAGTTTTTAGTTTTGGTTTCAGGTACCTCTTCAGCTAAGGGGAAGGAGCCGACAGAGTAGCAGCGCATCGCACACATATGATTTCCGCTTTGAGAACCCTAGGATTGTAATATGATATTTTACTATTTGATGATATGGTTTTTGAGACTTGTGATTTGTGACTTGATGTTTGAAATGATAACAATGATGTTTTCCGTAAACTGTTTTCATAAGTAATATAATTAAGCAAAAAAATTTGGGTCTCATTTTTGGGATGTTACATTAGGTTTTAATTGGTTTGAAACTCCTAGATCTTTTGAGATTCATTGAACTTTTCAATGTCATGTTTAAATCTCGATTGCGCCCTCTGAAGTTTGTGACTGGGATGCCGAGGATCACAAACAAGGTGTGAATAACCATGCAAATTAACTTGGTACCCTTAATTTTATCACCCAATCGATTTGTCGGTTAACCACACGCGCTCCACCGATCTATGATAAACATTAAGTTACCCTTTGCCACTCTTACTAGTCCATGTTAGTGTGCCGGTCAACCACACATGCTCCACCAACGACTTGGTAAGTGTAATTTTGAACATCCCAAAAATACAAGCCAAAAATTTCGTTTTGAAAATATTATAAAAACTATACGCATCCATAATCAATAAGAAAATCCAGTGTCATTATCTCTAAATCTCATATCAAATACTGTATAAAAAACAAATGAGAAATTATATCAGAGTCTCAATCAATCCCAGGCTGAAAGCTGTGGTGTGTGCCATGAGATCATCCCGAGCCCTTCCCTTTGCTAGTAGAAGTACCTGAAACCAAAACTGAAACTGTAAGCACGAAGCTTAGTGACCTCCCCCAAGCTACCACATACCATACAATAACACATATAACACATAATGGGCCTTGCCTACTGCATCGGGCCCCGCCCAGCATCGGACCGAAGTCCGACATAACTTGGGCCCCGCCCACTGCATCGGGCCCCGCCCGGCATCGAACCGAAGTCCGGAATAACTTGGGTCCCGCCCATTGCATCAGGCCCCACCCGGCATCGGACCGAAGTCCAGAATGACTTGGGCCCTGCCCACTGTGTCAGACCGAAGTCCGGTATTAACTGAACATAACATAAACATAGACAAAAACATGTAACCTAATCACATACACTGCATCGGGCTTGCCCGGCATCGGACCGAAGTCCGGAACGTATAACACATAACATAAACAAGCATGAATCACAAAGACATCAAGCATATATAACTACTTCTCGGGACCGCCCCGGCATCGGACCGAAGTCCGGAAACATATAAACTGCATCGAGCTAACCCCGGCATCGTGCTTACCCCGACATACTGCAACTACATAAACGAGTCGGCATTGGTGCCTTAGACCCGTTCCTACTGGAAGAACTCACCTCTCAACTGACTGCTGAAAAACTAGTGCAAAGGTGACATCGACTGCTGCTCCAACTACTCCCTAGCTATAATGACCAAATAAACATTTAGTCAAAAACTGATAACTTTCCCATGGGTAAAATGACCATTTTACCCCTCTGATCTATTTTGGGCCATGACCTAGGCCCAATCCTTTCTATTCCTCACTAAGGCCCATTAAGTCCCCAAGTGGCCCAATTTTCTGAATTGGGCCCAACTCTTCAAATGGGCTTTCCTTCCAAGCCTACTAATCCTTGGGCCCTTAACTAACTTCTAAAGGCCCATCACAACCCATTACAACTATGTCCAAAACTTGGCCCAATAACAAAAGTCCATTGACTGAGCGTACGCTGAGCGTACTTTTCTGTACGCTGCGCGTACAACTTGCATGGCTTGTACGCTGCGCGTACTGGCGTGTACGCCCAGCGTACTCCCTTGATAAGTCATTTTCTTCAAAACTGCTTAATCCCTTAAGACACAACTTCCAAACTATAGATCTGAGTCTAATAATCCTTCTTAACCCATAAAGTTGATCACTTGGTGGCTTGCACCCCACCAAATGAGATCAAACTTGTAAAAATAGCAACTATCTTCATGGAAATGGCTAGATCTCTTGCATGGATGCAAATGGGCCTTAAAGATTGCAACTTTACTGCTCAAGGGACTCAAATAGCTTCATGGGTGGCAACCCTAAGTCTAGAAACGGATTTGCACCATAAAAATCCATTCTTGAAACCAAAAAGGGACAATATCCATGAGAACCTAGATCTATGATGTAGAAGCACCAAGATGAAAACTTTATACCTTTAATAGGCTGGAAATGATGTAAAACCTCTGGATCTACAAGCTCTCTTCAATATCTTGCTTCTTCTCTAAACACCTTCTTCTTCAAAAACACCAAAATACTCCTCTAATGGCCATCCAAGCTCCAAAATCACTCAAATGAGGGCTAAGGCTCGATTTCTAGGGTTTAGAGGGTGGAGGCTGAAGATATTAGGGTTAGGTTATGAGATAAGGAGCTTAAATAGGGTCCAAGACCCTAAAATAGGGTTTAGGTCTGATTTGCGTACGCCCAGCGTACTCCGAAGAACATTCGCGACCATCCTAGTTAGTACGCCCAACATACTGCCTTCTCACTAGTACGCCCAACGTACTCTTTGTGTACGCCCAGCATACTCTTTGTGTACGCCTAGCGTACTCGGCTAAGCCTGAAACCACTAAACTTCCG